AAACAAAACCAAAAGTACTAGTTGCTAAAAAATCTTCTTCTCCAGAACCACCAGGCAGATTTTCACCAAACTTACATACAAGGATCAGGGTTGGCATGTGCATATATCTGCTGTGGATAAATCCGTTTATTACCATTATTATATTTAATTTTTCATGGAACAAGTCTTGATAATTTGTTGGTTTCTTTAATACTCAAGAAAAAAGATAGAAATTGTCCTAAACATATTTGTTTACGGTGGGTCTATTTTCTGTGGCGATAGAAGTTATTTTCAAATGGGGCACTGCAAGGAGGATGCTTAGCATTTAATTTGAAAATGTTAAACAATATGCAGTGCATGAAAAATAAATTGTAATTACATGTCTTACATTCGAAAAGTTGGTACATATGTCTATTTTGTTTAGAAGTTAGATAGAAAAAATAGGCAGTTATAGGATATCCTTCATGTACCTCACATAAATAGCTAGAATGTTTGCAATGACCCACACATTGTATGGAGTAATGTTTGGACACAAAAACGCATCATGTCTCATTATGTTGACAACGTTGTAAGCTCTCGCTCATTGAACATACGAAGCTTGATAAAATATAATGAGTTGTTTCTATGAAATTTAGAAGCGAGCACAATGTTTGCAAAGAAAGGTCCATTGCATATATGCTATGTCTATCATCGCAAAAAAAGTGAGTGCTAACCCCCCCCCCCCTCCCCCGAAAATCCTATGTTTGTTTTTCAAAATAGTGTCAAAGATTAAAAAAAATTGCATTACTAAGTATGTGATGGAACATGTACTAGCCTTATAATACCACTTGTTATAAAAATATTTGGTTGCCCTCTCTCCCGATCTACTGCCTAGAAATGGCCCGACTCATTTTTTTAACATTCCATTACACAATATTTTTTTCTTTTTCTTCCGTCAACAATTCTGTTTAAATTTTAAGGATTTTTTTTTCTCACCTATAAATACGGACCCAATAATTTTTCCCCGAGTTGGGAGGACCATTAAACATCATTTTAAAGATGTTTATAGGTTGATTTTTTTCTCTTTACTTTGTACAATTGTAATTTTGAAAATATGGGCAAATAGAAAAAAAAAATTATTCATTAAATCTCCTAACCCACTCTGAATGATTTCATGCCTTTTCAACTTTTGCTCCTCTGTAATGAAAATATTATAAATGCATGTTTATTTGACACAGTATACGAGGGGTGATCAAAAAGTAAACAATATCTTAGGTATTTGATATTTATATTATTGTTGAAATATTCAAGTATTTTTCAAAGTGTAAAATTCTAATTGAAGGTCTTTGATAGCATATTGCTTTATTAAAAACACATCCCTTTTCAAACTTGCTTTCACCGGGCAACATAACAAGTATCATATTTAACCATCTGCCTTCCTTCACTAAAACGATATCCAATCATTGATTGAAATTATAGGAAGCCATTTAATAAACTGCTTCACATGAACAAATTCTTATACGCTACTTCAAAGGTATTTCTAAGATATACATGTGCCACGAGTTCCACTGAGACAACCATTTTTCGTCAAAAGTACCTGAATAATGACGTCATTTTCAGATTGTGACATCACAAACAAGGATCAAAACTTCTGTATATGCTATTTATAGAACTTGTGTTTGGCTATCTAATCTGAACTGTGGTTTTGTAGATATAGAGATGTTTCGCGAAATTTTTTATAACGCTTCGTACTAGTAGGTACTAAAACAAGGTCATTCGTATCAATTTTATGTCTAATTTCTTTGTGTTTTATTGTAGATAATTAAATTTTAATAGATAATATAATTTATCTGTGGCAAACTTACAAACTCTTAATTTTTAACTTTGATGGTGCTCATTTTTCCTTACCTGGAATCAAAGAGTTAATTTTTTTTTTATATCAATACGTAAACTATATAACAACTGTTCGATAATAATACTAAAAAAATTACTTCAAGCCACACTATAACACCTTTCCTCTTTTAAAAGTGTTCATATTATTTGAAATATTTTGCAACTGTAATTCTCTTCTACATTTAAAGATTGTTATGCCCCTCCATATTAAGAAGAGGTCTGGAAAACAAGATTCTGTGCTAAAAATAGACCACGTGCTGCTATCCATGAACTACTTTCATGGTTCTTTACACTCTTTTTGAAGACAATGGTACCTTGTTTTGAACTTGAAATTATCATTTAAAAGTGCAAAATTTAGACATTTTCTCAACAAATGGTTGTAGAGAGAACATTAATGCACAGTTTGCATATTTTTTTGGATTTTTTAAGGCTCTGCTGAATTCTGTAGCTGCGCAGTTCTAAGGAGCATATCAAAAGCATTTTTCTGCAAAAGTATAGATTATATATGCACAACATGCATTCGGTTATGCATATTTATTGTATCTTTATCAAAAAGACTTAAAATTTGATCAAAATATAATGTATTTTAGCCATTTGAAGAAATGTTTACATTTTGCTCTCACTGCACTATAAGTGGCCGTACATCCCCCTTAAGTGTTGACACCTTTTATGAAATAATTTATACATAACATTTGATAAGATAATAATTTGAGCTTGCAGCATGATCTTGAATCTATTTCCTTTTTACCCTAGAGAGGTTTTAATGTGTAATTATTATCCATAATAAAATAACCAATTATGGTGATTTTATAATGAATAATTATTACACAACCCCAATTTTCAATGCCTATATTATGTATATATTTGCAAAAAAAAGGGGGGGGGGCTAAGCCTCCCCTAGCCCCCGGTTCCGACGCCTATGAATGTCCATGAGTCAAAAGATTGGTATCAGAAAGGAGTAAGCCATGGCTGGACATATTTTTTTTAGGAATTAATGGTAGTGATGTTGTAAACAAATTTATGGATTTTGGTGATGCTTATATTTTAAATAGTCTAATGCTTTGATGTTTTGAAGAATGTAGATCAGGATGTAGAAATGAAAAAAATACAAGGCTTGTAATATTCCTGTATTGTATAATTTAAATAATAAGGTAGAAAATAAAAATATTCTCACAGAAAATTGGTTTAAAAGTGGAGTTAAAAATATTGTAGATTTTTTGTCAGAAGATTACAATTTCTTATCAAAATTTGCCTTCCAAGAAAAATTCAGTATTTCCAATGTTGGCTTAATGCAGTATAATAGTACATTTTCTGCTATTTCTAAATTTTTAAAGAATATGTCAATAGATGGAATGTATTTGAGAAAACAATGTCAGCCAAATTTACTATTTTATCTTGAATATATTTTTCACTATGAAAAATGTACAAACAGAATTTACAACTATATAAACAAAAATGGTATAATTCCTACAGCAAATCCAAAATGGAATCAAGACCTATCTCCCTTGGGAGTGACAGATATTTGTATAAAAGATGTTTTTAAAGTTTGTTTTAAGACTACTTCTAATTCTTCTGTACAGTGGTTACAATATAGAATTTTACATAGGATCATCCCTGCAGATTCTTATCTTAAGAAAATCAATATAAAAACTACTGATGTTGGTAAGTTTTGTGCTCAACAAACTGAAACTGTACTGCATGTATTTGTCAATTGTGACCATATGATATCTTTATGGAGGAACTTGAGTTTACATATATACAGAACAATTTCAATAAGAATTGCATTTAATGTTAAAAATATTATCTTAGGTGAATCACCACTTACTAAGGATAACAGAATTGAAAACTTTATGATATTATACTCAAAACAATATATTTTTTCATATTAATTGCTACCAAAATACCTTCATTTTTTGGTTAACTAAGCTATTTGAAAATGAAATACAATATTGAAAGATGCATATTTATCAATTCAAATCTACATGTACATTATTTTGAAGAACAATGGATTTGGTGGAAAAATATTTTTGAACAAATGTAAGATTATGTGATAGGCTTTAACTTTTAGCTTGTATGATAGAGATAATTGTTGCTTAACTGATTATAATAAAGCAACCTTCATATTAATTAAAAATTTAAATGGATGTATGGATGGGTGCGTGAATGTTAAATATCCATTGTATATTCTGCTCTTATTTTAATTTGATTGTGTATTTAATACAATGGATAATTTAAAAAATCACCTAATTATGTAAAGAAAAATACACATAGCAGGAAAACAAAATGTCATCGGAATGGCATCGGAAAGATAAATCCAGCAACTTGAAAATAACTTATAGTTTTGTAAAATTACTTTTTTCATATCAAAAATGCTCTGTATGTATGTTAATTGCTAAAACAGTGATTTTTCTTAAGGTAAAAATGATTTCACTCATAAATGGTTGAGCAAATGGACTTGTAAAACTGTGCAGTTGAATAACTTAGTTACTTGTTTTTTTAAAATCGCAAAATATTAATTTGTAAAAGGTAGTCGTTTCGCATTGAGATTTGTAAACGATGATTTGATAGGATTGTGGCCATCAGTTTTTAAATATCCACACATAAAAGAAAAAAAGAAAAACATTGATTTAACCATTAATTTTCGCCTGGTAAAGTAAACAATGGAAATGAGTCTTGATCATCAAACTTCTTCGATGTGTGTGAAAAAGGCATGTGTCTAAATGATGGAGACGATAGACGAGAATATTTTGAAAACTTGTAGTCAGATGAAAATCGAACAAAAACGATACCCTTTTAATGTTTGTTGCATAAAATATAAATTAAAACCAGACACATGCATAACATATTTTCAAAAATGTATTTCACTTTAAGAATATAAAACACGAACTGTGTACAGTACTGTGTACAGTACGCTTTTATGCGATAAGTGAAATGCGATGTTCTAAAAAAGGGACCTGTCGTTTTTTCGATAGTAAATGATAAGCAATTTTATATATATGAATTCAGAAAAACATATATTTTTTCTACAGATTCACTTCACTGAAAACATAAATTTGTCACGTTGACCAGATTTGAAGTCATTTTCTTCCATTCAGTTAGTCAATACATAATTTGACTATCTGTTTCCTCAACATTACCAGTCTTTGGTAAACTTTGACTTATATCCTGGTCATTTTGTTTATATTGTTTGGCGGGAAGAAACAATAGCGTCGGTCGCCATTTTCCTCCCAGGAAAACACGAAGTGATGGTATGTCATGTTTTGTTGTTTTCTTGTTTTAGACAAATAATTCTATAATAAACTTATTCAAAAAATGTTCTACTGAGAAAGAATATTATAATTAACAAAGTACTCGACATTTTTCTTCAATAATTATTGTATTTTACATTATTATCATAATGATACATGTAGGCTAGGATGTGGGTTGATTGTGTTCAAGTAGATTTTTGCATATTCAATTTATGCAAACAGTTCAAATCGGACTTTGTCTAAAATTCAACGATGATTAAATACGTATTATTCTTTTACAACTCACAGTATGGCATGGACTCTCAACTACCACTGAATGGACAAACAAATCAAAATACAATAGCTTGTTACAAATAGACAAGATGAAAACCACATTAGGTACACGAAGATGTTACCATGAATAAAGAAATAAGGTAGGATTACACGTACTGATAGCTTATCTTTTAAGTATAATGGTGATTTACATAGAACTTGTTATTTTTCAACATTCTATTTTATAAAAGAAAATACAAATAGACGAGTCCCTGATGTTTATGTACTAACTCTCCACTGACTATACTGGCCTGCTTCACCAAATATTTTTCGTATTATTCTATGTATTTTGTTTATGATACATGTATATGATAAAGACATTTAAAATAAAATCACAATGGTTTGTAGTTGACCCATTTCTGACGAAAACAGCCAAACAAGAAGAAAACAGAACTGATGATGATTTCATTCCTATGTGCCATGTTTGCTAAGGTAAATGTATTTTTTTTATTCATTTTAATGGTATGTATTAAACGACTTATATTATGGTACCCATTATTTTCTTCTTAATACTGCATATATATCTATTTACTATATTTATATCTTGATTTCCTTTCAATATATATAAATTTGTTTTCATATAGGCCTACTTTACTTTTGATATCAAGCAACTGTATAAATTATAAAGACTATTCTACATTGCAGGACCTGTGAAAAAGAATTTGTAATGATCAAAGAAGAAAACAACCAGTAAATATATTCCACTGAGGTAGGAAAACAAAGCAACAACTGAAAGGGTGCAACAAGAGACTGTTACCTGAAGCTATTTCTTTGATTGATTAGAAATCATTTACAAACAGTAAAATTAATTTGCTTGAAAATACTAGTATTTAAATATCTAAGTATGCTATATATGTAGGTGTATATGATTTCTTTCAACTTTTTACAATGTTTATAAGCAAATCTTATGTTTTTTATTAAGATGATCGGTTTATACGTTTGTGTATATTTGGTGCTTGAAATATCCATATTTATGAAACAATTCTATAATAAAAAGTTCAAACATTAGTTGTATAATTGTTATATTTTGTATCTGAAGGGCATTGATGCGTGATAATCAAAATGATTTAACGCGCATTGTCATCATGATTTCCAATATCGTCAAAATGCCTAGAAATATAACTAACTGAAAGTCATTTTGATATGAAATGATAATCATTTTGAATATCGGAATCTATCATTATGACAAGAATCCAGTCAAATGAAATCCTTACAGTGTACTCATGGTGACTTTCAATTAGTCAAGGTAGACTATCGAGTCAGTCAGTATGATTTTTCTCGAGTCGTCAAAATGAGCTCAACATATTGTCTAATTGACTAACTGCACCCTCATCTGGAGGACAATCAATCTGATTATTTTTTTAGGTCATGGTGACTAACTTAAATTTTCAGTGTTTGTGGAAGTAAATATATTGTGTATCTCGTAATTTATAAAGGGAAAGAACATTCTCCTTAACAATTTTTTAATGTTTAGAAAACGTTTAATTCTGAATAACTTCTCCCACCTCAATCCCCATACACCAACACTTAAACTTATATATTATTATGTTTATTCACCCACCAAGGGCCCACGGGGGGGCATGAACAATTATTACAAAATGATAACATTGATTACAATTCTATATTAAGGATAATGTAACATGACTAGTGATTAAGTTTGACATTGAGAAGTGCATCACCACACTGGATCAAAAGCATAGAAACCATAGAATGATAAAAGAAAACACAATTAAATAAAAATGATAGATATAAGGTAAATTAAAAAAAAAAAAATCTTGTAGTAATGGCAGTACTCTAATATAAAACTAGTGCATCTTGAATACAAAGGGCACCAGGGGATGATACCTCTACACAGCCAGTCTGGCAAACCTGTACCCTAAGTATTGAAGATGGTCATTCAAAAAAAAAAATCATTTAAGTATTAACAGAAATAGTAATTTCAATTAATAAGTACTTAGCATATAATTAGAAACTTAATGCAAACTAATCTCTTGGAGTTAATTCAATAGATATTTGACATATGCATACCCACATACACAAACACACACTTACTGTTACACAAATCCATGCATACA